TAGTATTGTGTTTTGCTGTCTGTTCTGATGCCAGCAAGAAGTATGTTTCTGAACCATAAATCCAACAGAATTTGTTATCCTGTGGAGCAGTTTTGAAGAATTTGGTACCAATTATTACTCTCTCTTGTAAATCTCAGGTCTCAATGGTATTCAACCTTCTTTAGATGTTCAGGGTAATGCTATGCTGAAAATGGTCTTGCAGTTCCTCAAAAATGTTCTGGTCCTTCAAAGAGGGCCTTTGGTTTTTCCACCTTATTCTTGGAGTGAAAAGGGGTTTCTTTGGAATGGTTTTTGTGCAAACTACAACAACATGTGGATTGATTTCACAATTAGGTCTCAAAGGTGCTTTTTCAAAAGGCAACTGGACTATGAATTTTTCCTTGAGGAAGAAGATGTTTTGCTTCTTATCTCAGAAGCTTCATAACTGATGAAGCCTCTTGGATGAGAAGTGAAGAGCGTCTTCTTCTTCCTCAAGGAAGAATAAAGTTGGTTGCCTTGTGAAAAAGCACCTTTGAGACAACCGTGACCTGGATGACTGAGAATCTCCATAGTCATTCACAATTAGGTGTTGATATTTGTATATGATGTAGTGTCCTTTTGACAATGGACATGTAAAAGCATTTACTGTCCTTGTTTCATACTTAATTAAATAAGCCATCAACCGCCTCACATGTCCATATTGCTGGTTCTGGCTTAACACAGATGTTCCATGGGTCAAGAGTCATTATTTTGGAGTCCTCCCAAACATCCTATAAATCCTTGTACCAAGAGAGCACTGGCAAGGATGTCTCACATAATCAGTCCCTTCCCCATAGGTCAGCAGCAATAGGAATTATATGTTTTTTATGGTCAACCAGTGTTTGGAAACGGTTCTGTAGAGGCCTTGGCAGCGAGTTCTGTAACAGAGAAGTTTGCAGTTTTGAGCTACTTGATCTCTCCAGTACTTTTTCTTGGAGATCTAGATGGGAGGAGTTAATTTACCTTGTGCACAATAGGTATGTGTGAGGTGAAATTAATCTTCCTGTGAATTAATTGATTAGGTTAATTAAGTCCTGTTTAGTGTTCCCGGAACACTGTAATTCCTTCTCACTGGTTCAGTTCAGTATCTCCTAGAACAGGATCGATATGTGGAAATATGTCCAGGTCCAGGTTGATAAGAGGAAATTACAACTCTTATATTCTTGTACTCAATGGTGATATTTTTTGCCTAGAGAATAACAGGATTAAAGGATTGATTTCAAACCTGTTTTTTTCCCCATTGGAGTTTGCAATGGAAGAATATTTATAGCTGGAGATAAGTGCTTTTTGAATCTTTTTGGATTAAGAGTATCAAAATGAGCTTCTAAAAGGTACAATGCAAAAAAAATTCTTAATCAGATCCTGAACTTTGTCCTGTTCACTTTCCTACTACTGAATCTAACTTAGGCAAGGAAAATCCTTTTTAGGATGTGAGATACAAAGAGCCAATGTGAAAGAAGAGTTTTTGCAGGATAGATACTAGTCTTGACTAATTATGGAACCTCCCAAGTTCAGGAAATCTCAAGAAGGGGTGAATTGTGTCATATCCTGGAATTCAAAAGCTGTTGTATCTTCTAACCCAGTGATGGCGAACCTTTTAGAAACCGAGTGCCCAAACTGCAACCCAAAACTCACTTATTTATTGCAAAGTGCCAGGACCGCATCAGCATTGTGGTGCTCTCAGGGGGAGCAGAGGGTGTGGCCCACTGGGTGGGCATGTTCCAACACAGCTGTGGTGGTCACGGCAGACTAGGTGGGCGTGGCTAGGGTGGGTGGACCAGGACCAGGGTGGCAGGGACCAGTCCCTCACCATCTCCGGGGCATCCTCAGGGGGCCAATGCCACTTGCTCGCTCACTTCCTACCCCATTGCTTCCAAACACCACATGCTCGCTACTCTGGCAAATTCTGCTGGGGCAACGGTGTGCGTGCCCACAGAGAGGGCTCTGAGTGCCGCCTCTGTCACAGGTGCCATAGGTTCGCCACCACTGTTCTAACCCAGCTATGCATTCCAGATATCTTGAGGACAACTCTCAGAATTTGGATTCTGTCCATTACATTACATTCTAGGAGGTCCTTTTTTCAAGAACACCATTTTAACAATTCTCTCCATCAAGTCTGAATGATCAAGAGTCCGTACAATAGTGCCATTTCCTGTGTGATCGTCTTGAGTGTGCTTTGCCCTCAGTTCTGATAACCATCTTTTTGGTTAGTGATCCTTTCTCAGCATGGACTTCATTAAATCTGGCCAGATTTCTTATAAGATTATTAAAGAAACACAATACTTAGAATTCTCCAGTGAGTCAACCAGGTTTCTTTTTTTCTTTTTCTTTTTAATGCATTCACTGAAAAAGCCATACTATGTGAAGAAAATTAATGTTACTGGCTCAGGGCATTCTTGGAAGCATTTCAAGGAAAAGACTTCAGATTAAATGTCCTTCCGTTTCATTGCCCTATCCTTGCATGATAAATGGGAGGCATTTAAGCATTTCTTTTTCAGAGAATGGCTGATGAAATGGAGATAAAATGTGGAGAAGCAGAGGCATAGTAATGGCAATAGTTGGGTTACCATTTTCTTCCCGAAAGCTCTTGCGTAGGATGCCATAAAGCAGAAGTGGGGAGCTATGGCTCCTTTATGACTTGTGGACTTCAACTCCCAGAGTTCCTGAACCAGCACAGCTGGCTTAGGAATTCTGGGAGTTGAAGTCCACAAGTCATAAAAGGGCCATAGTTCTCCACCCCTGCTATAAAGCATCATCTTTGTCTGGCTTCTAGCAGGAAATAAAATGGAGATTGTTAGCTGGTACTTGCTGAGAAGAATTCTTCTTGATAAAATTTTCCATCAGTTGCACTTTTTACAGCCTCCAGCATCTCAGGGTTGTTGTCAGGAGGGGTTTCAAAAAAGTCAAGATGGCAGCTGTGAGTATATGACTGAAATTCTGCCCCTCCTTTTTCCCCACAAACAATGTATGTTAAAGGGATGGGACTTCGATCATATAATCATGGTGCCTATCCTGACTTCCCCTCTTCAGATGTCCCTGATCTTTAGAGTTCCTGCAACACAGCTTTTAACTATACCACCATCATCATCACACATAGAACTTCCAAAATACTTGAGAATGTATGTATTGTGAGTGGCCATGTGGGTTATGGCTGCCATTTTATGAGGGCTCCAGCCTTTCCCATCCTCAAGAGCCAATTTGTAAGAACATATATAGTGTGCTTTAGCATTCCTAATGTATCCACTGTTGTGTAATATTTAATAGTTATAGCCTGGTGCCATTTTAATGCTAGTCTTTGCTTGCATTATCATTATTGCATTCCAGCTGATCCAGCAGGCAACTACTTGAAGAACAGAAAACATACTTAAAAAAAAAAAAAAGTAACTACGGATTACAGGTGGGGCTTTGCAATAACGAAAAAGTTATTAGTGTCGTTTTCTTTTCATTGGCCACCTAAAGGCATCTGAAAATGGAATGTTTGCCTCAGCTGAAGAAAGGTTTAATCCAGCAATGCTGTGTCCATTTCTCATTTGTGGCTGGGATATGGGTGTGGATTAGGATCCTTATGAAAGAGAAGGAGGGAGAGAGGGCGAGAAAGAAAGATACAGTTCGGTTACCCATGCTTCAGTTCCGACAGATTGTAAGATAAAATGAGTGCATTTAAAGTCCACTAAAACGATAGGCTTTTAAAATCTACCACTTCAGAAGCCTTTGTATGAGAAAATAAAAGTACACATTTTACCAGTCTATTTTCATTAAAGTTCACTGAGACTATGAAGAATTTAGTGCTCTCCTACTACTAACTTAGATGTTCCCCATGTTTGCAGATACTGAATGGGGCAAAGACATTAGAGACTCTGAGTATTCCGGAGGTGCAATTCGATCTGGGATTGACTCCACTCTGAGTCCCTTTCATGTGCAAGAGAGAAAATAGCTCTGCGGCATATCAAGGCCTTGGTTAGAGTTGTTAGCTGATTAGTAACGCTCAATATTCATCAGAAGAATGTTGTTTCTGCCAGGAGCAGAGAGAACTGAGCTGGTGGCATGGGGCTGGTCTATTTGAGGGACCGCTTCTCTCTAATTACATTTACCTGTGCCATTAGATCTGGCAGGAAGGGCATATTCTGGGTCCCAGATGGCATAGTCTAAGTGCCATCTGGCAGGACCCAGGCAAACCCTTTTTCTGTTGTGGTGCATGTCCTTTGGAACATGATTACCCCAGAGATTAGATTGGCCTCAATTCTGTTGGTCTTTCAGAAGAACTTAAAGACACGGTTTTGTAACTGGGCCAGGAGATCTCGGTGTGTACCTGGCTGTGCTGATTTGTGCTGGTGGTTTTTACCTGGCTGCTGATTATGGGGTTTTTTTTCTGGTGAGTTGCTCTGAGCCATGAGTTTGAAATGAAATAACCAATCCATCCATCAGTTGTTAGCGGATTGGTCTAGTTGGAAGAAATCAGTGATGGATTATCCACAATGTGTTCAGGCTGCACCTGTGATAGATTGTCCTATGAAGGGGAGGTGTTGTGATAGACTACAGTGAAGTGGCAATTTCCCAGGAAGGAGGGAGCACATTCCAAGGAAGGGGGAGAGGCAAGAGGCAATGTAGCCTAAAGCTAGATTGGAGACAGAGAGTTAGGATAGCCAGTCCTTAGAACAGGGGTCTTCAAACTTGGCCTTTTTATGACTTGTGGACTTCAACTCGCACACTGGCTGAGGAATTCTGGGAGTTGAAGTCCACAAGTCATAAAAGGGCCAAGTTTGAAGACCCCAGGGTGTATCCATTAAGGTGAGTGTATATTGGTTTAGTCTGGCAAGATTCTGTCAATTTGGGTATAAGCAAATAAAGAACTGAACTTTGGCTGGATTGTTCTATGTTGTTCTTGAGTTGGGCCTCACAGCACATGGCCCCAAGAATTCTCCTCCCACAATAGATAGGGATGAAAATTTCAGATGTCATTTCCATGTTTATGGATTGTCCTCATGGAGCAGAATGGAAAGACAGAAACTACCCATACATTCCTTAAAAACAATGGAGAGCTAACCTCCAACTCCTATCCCCCAGTCTTGCAGAAAGTGAGTATTCTCACAGAAGTTCTCATAATGTCTCATGAGATTTAGAGTTCTCAAAGGTAATTTGAGGAAGAAGGTGAGAGACCAGGCATCTCTGGCTTGAAATGGTTGGCAGCCTCTGTTCTACAGGTTTAAAGTTGGTATATATTCTCATGTCTTTGCCTGAGTTTGTCATTTTGCCTTAGGGAAATTTCAGTTTCCCCCTTTCCTTCCATACTGTCAAACAAGAGCATGACGAAAAATCTATTCTTTTTTCATTGCTATCAAATGTTATAGTTTTTATGCAATCCTGTTTATCCTTTTCCTATTTTATTTAGCAATAAATTTATTTCCCCATATAGAAAACAAAGAGAAGATCTCTCATTGATGAGTCTGAAGATGATTGAAAGAGATTGGTTGTATTATGTAGTGAAAAGAATGGATCCCATTAATCCACTTTCCTTTAGCCCTCTCCCTGTTCTTTTTGCCTTGCAACAGAAGATTTTTTGATTCAAAGAATGTAGGGCAAGTCTATTATTAAAATGATTTCCATGATGGAACTGGGCACACATATTTAAAACTGATAGAAAATGGTACAATTTTTTTCTTTCTGACAAAGAAACATTTCAATTGCAAGCCAATTCAAAGAAGTTGTCTCTTGTCCATTGGGTTAATTCATTTCTATTTTATATTGGTTTCTGGCCATTAGTATAGAACACGTAATAAAAGCGAGACTCTTTTTATATATCAGGAGCATTTAAACGCATTCTGCCTCTCTATTTGAGATCCTGGTCTATGTAGTTATAATAAGATCACTATAGTGACTTTTACTGTACTGTTGATTTTTATTTAATTGGACATGTCCAATGCTATATTTTTCATGTATTCCCCCATGCCTTTACAGCAGTACAGTAAGCTAAAATTAAAAGGCAACCTGTGGATACTCAGATATTTAATTAGAAGTTAAAATGGAAGACAAGCTAGATATTGCTCCTCTCATTTCTTCTTCAATCCAATTATCTGCTCCGTTGCTTAATATCTTATGTGCCACGTGGAGAGGGAGGCAAGGGTAGGAGTCATAGGACTGCAGATGGAATCAGAAAAGCTTCCCAAATTGTCAGGTTTCTGTTGAAATGGCAAGCCCAAATTTAATAAGGCAGAACAAAGAAGGCTTTCTCCAAAATTGATATTATTGCCCACAGATTGAACTATTTTCATGTCTTGTCTTGTACATCCCAGATCCAAGATAGGAAGAGTTGTGTAGGAAGAGAGGATAGGAAGAGAGTAGGAAGAAAGCGTGGAAGAGAAGAGACACTGGGAGAAAAATGCATGTTCTTCTGTCAATAGCTTTGGCTTACTACTTCCATTTCAAGTCATATGGCCTGCCTGATCATGAAAAGCTCAAGCAGAATGAAATCAGTATTAGTATTTGGTAGGGCAGAGGTCCCCAACCTTTTGGGCACTGGGGACCGGTTCTGTGGAGAGAGGTTTTTCCACGGACCGGAGGGTGCGTGGTTTTGTGTGCTGCCTGCATCTTGCGAATGGGGTTTTGCTATTTTGTGTGGGCCAGTTGCTGGCATGCCGCTGTCCGATACTGGTCCACGGGCCGGGAGTTGGGGACCCCTGTGGTAGGGGATCACTAGAAAAGCTAAGGAAAAGGAGAAAATGTCTGTCTTCTGGGTATCTTGTATGGTTTAGAACAGGGGTCCCCAACCTCCAGGCTGTGGACCAGCCCTGGCCCTTAGCCCACCAGGAACTGGGCCATGCAAGCGAGTGAAGCCCCATCTGCACACGCCGGATCCAGGCAGTGTGTGAAACCACACACATCCAGTCTGCAGAAAAACCATCCTCCACAGAACCAGTTCTTGGTGCTGAAAATGTTGGGGGCTGCTGATTTAGAAGTTTGAATTTTATTCTCAGCTAGCACATGGAAGAAAACAAGACATTGATCCTTTCGGTTTTAATATTAATGTAGTATATTCACCCATGTAAGACAACTAACAGGCAAGGAATGCAGAATGCTTTCTGATGCTGCAATTAATTACAGTTGTCTCTGAAGCAAGCAGTGTACAAAGAGATAAGAGACTAAACCTGCCAAGCAAGGGAAAGCATGAAGCAGGACCGCCTTATCACAATAAATGGATTGTTCAATCAGGTGCAGACAGAATGCCCAGCTTCCCTCTTAGTGGGACAAGCTAGGGAAATAAAAAATTAAGTATCAGTCTCCATTTTTGGCTCCAAATATTTGCTTCATTTAGTGATGTACAATTGGGGGCTATATTATGTGATTAATTATGCATTATGAGTAGGACACTTTCTGTTTCCATGCTATCCTCCTTGATCTAAGCTCAGGACCCCCAATGCCCAGTGATCACTGTATATGTATCTTAATAAAGAAAATGAAATAGTTCTTATTTTAGCAGAGTGAATTTTTCTTCATGACAATCTGCTTCTATATTGTTGGCAAGAAAACAACATGGATGCATCCATGCGATTACTAAAGCCCAAGTTTGACTCAAGGGAAATGTTCTTTTATTGCTTTATTTCTTAATCACATTTGTAGGCCACCTGCTCAGAATAACTCTTCCATTACTGATATTCTTGCCCTGACTTCCATCTTTAATGTGGGCCTACATTCGCCATCCCCATCTGGTGCCATTAGAAAGTTCTGGGATTGCAATACACAGAATTCTTCAGAGGGTCTGGGCAAGAAGCTATCTGGTGATTATTAATACATTTCATGGTCCAATTACTGTCCACTGATTCAGCCATGTTTCGGGATGCTGAATCTCTCTGCCATATGAGAACAGAGGGAGTATTGGTTAAGGTTTCTTAAGTGGCCCATAGCTTCTACTGTATGTCAGAAAGATGCTTTTTCAAAAGGCAATTGGACTTGGTTTTTCCTTGAAGATGTTTCGCTTCTCATTCAAGAAGCTTCTTCAGTTCAGCACCCAACACACCTCCCAACCAACCACCATACAAAAACTAATCCTACCATACAGAAAAGGAGAATAGTGATAGACCACAAATCCGCAGCCACACTCTGCCAGGAATTAGCCAGAATCAAAGACAAGATACAGAAGGATGAAAGAAACAATGTAATCTTCAAAATCAACTGTAACAATTGCAACCAATTCTACGTGGGACAAACATCACGTTAATTAAAAAGCAGGATCCATGAACACTGGCTGGGGGGGGGGTGTCAAACGTCACAATCCCAAATCCTTAAACTCTACCCACACTGATACCAAACAGCAACAGTTCTATTGGAGCAACACAAAAATCATCAGCCAGGTTACCACCTACTATGCTCATGAGTTCATCGAAGCATGGCACTCCACAAGCAATTCCATCAACAGACACATTGACGTACAAGCAGCCTATGAGCCCCTCAGAATCCAAATCAACTGCACAGCCAACCAGAGACAGCACCGACCCTCAACCAACCCATGCAAGCCCCCCCCCAACCAGCACTTCACCTCCCAATGATGCTCACCTGATGGAACTTCCCCATCAAAGACCCATCACAAGACTCTCACTGAGGACCCACACCTGACCCATCACAAGACCTAATGACCACATGAAGCCACGGAGAACACTGACATCCCCTAAATTCCACTGAAGATGTTACCTAGCCTGGTAATGAAATGTTCGGAAACCAACCCACAAGCTCGGGGAACAAAGCTTCACCCTCATCCTACACCCGAGCTACAGATATTCACCACTATTGCAAATGCTTACATTGCATATCACCCAGGAAAGGCCTCTGCTGGTGAAACGGAGGCTGGGGGGGGGGCAATGTTCACGTCAACCTTGAGCTCCGTTCTGGGCTGCAGAGGCATTTCCTTTCCTTTTCTTTCCTTTCCTTTCCCTTTCCCGTTCCCTTTCCCTTCGCTTCCCTTCCCTCCCTTTCCCTTCCATTTCCCTTTCCTTTCCTTTCCTTTCCTTTATTTTCCTTTCCTTTCCCTTCCTTTCCCTTTCCCTTCCCTTCGCTTCCCTTTGCTTCCCTTCCCTTCCCTCCCTTTCCCTTCCATTTCCCTTCCTTTCCTTTCCTTCCCTTCCCTTCCCTTCCCTTCCTTTCCTTTCCTTTCCTTCCCTTTCTTTTCCTTTCCTTTCCCTTCCTTTCCCTTTCCCTTCCCTTCCTTTCCCTCCCTTTCCCTTCCATTTCCCTTTCCCTTCCTTTCCTTTCCTTCCCTTTCCTTTCCTTTCCTTTCCTTTCCTTTCCTTCCCTTCCTTTCCTTTCCTTTCCTTTCCTTTCCTTTCCTTCCCTTTCCTTTCCTTCCCTTCCCTTTCCTTCCCTTCCCTTCCCTTCCTTTCCTTTCCTTCCCTTTCCTTTCTTTTCCTTTCCTTTCCTTTCCTCTCCTCTCCTCTCCCCTCCCCTCCCCTCCATTCCTTCCCTTCCTCTCCTCTCCCCTCCCCTCCCCTCCCCTCCTCCCTTCCCTTCCCTTCCCTTCCCTGAAGGCCTCTGCTGGCAAAACGGAGGCTAGGGGTGATGTGCGCGAGCGGTGGTGAGCGGCCACAGAAGTGGGCCAGTGGCAGCCATGCAGGCTCCTGCTGGATGGGGCTGATGGTGCCACCGCCGTGAGGTGAAGCAGGTGTCAGGATATGGGAGAACTGGCTGCGTTGGTCCTAAGGTAAGCGGGTGCGGGGTACATGGGGCAGCTCCACTCCCCCACCCCCACCCTATCTTGATTTTTACGCATGTGCCTCACCCAAGCTTGTGCAACCAGACAGTGGGACAGAGTGGGCAGGGTCTTAACTAGTGCTTATTTTGGGGTAGGGCTTATATTAGGCGCACACATAAAAATCAAGCTAGGGCTTATTTTCGAGATGGGTCTTATTTTCAGGGAAACATGGTATTACTATTTCGGTCTGTTGCTGCTCAGCACTGAGTGAGTGTCCACGGTGGTTATAAGGTTTATCACTACATTTGTATTTTTTTTAAAAGTATGAATATATAAATCACTTTGATCAAGGCAAGTCTAAATAATGTTACTTTTCTTGAAAAACCAAGCATAATCTTT